TTTGAACCCATCCGTACAAAAATCCGTACATTTTCAGAAGAAATCCGTACAATCCGTACAATTTTCGAAAAACAATCCGTACAATCNAACATCTTCTTGAATAAGCAATCAAATAAGTACTTATGGAACATATTCTCAAATAAACACTTCTTGGACATATCTCGAAAATTATGAATGAATTTTGATTGTCAATTGAAACATTAATCAATCTAATATTATTTAGAATGCAGAAAATAAGTTAAACTAACTTCATTTTGACGAGAAATTTTTTTTTATTTTCATGAAAAATTTGCTGAAATGAGTGAAAATTTTAAAAAAACGGTGTATTTTCCAGGATAAAAATCCGTACAATCCGTACAATTTGAAAACAAATCCGTACAATCCCTACAATCCGTACAATTTTAGGGTTAAAAAAAATCAATCCGTACAATCCGTACAGTCCGTACATTTTGGCCACCCTGTAAATCTCTTGACCATTTTCAAGATAATGTCAGGTTTTCCATTTTCGAACATATCCTGAATATGAAACTTTGTCGCGTTTTCAAGACAAAACCCACTTTCCCGTTTTTTGAGTATAATCTGCAATTTAAAACAAAACTCACTTAATTTCATAACTTGCCAAATAAATCACTGAAAACAAAAGTTATCTTATGAAAACTAAATTAACTTCTGAATCATTTCTAGAATCTAATGACCGATTCGTTAAACATTTTCTAGCTATGATTTAGCTGTGACTTCCTCACCTAGTTAGCCTAAGAAATCGCAGCTAAATCACAGCTAGCAAATGTTTAACGAATCGGATATGTGTTTCCACATTTTATCTGTTAAATTAGAGAATATTGATCATTTATTTTCAAGCATTTTAAGCAAACAGTTTCCCGCATTTCTAGTCAAATCTATATTGTAAGATCAAATGATATTAATATTTTAATTTCTCAATGCTGTAATGATTTTTAATTATAATAGAACAGTTTGTTATTATTTTTTTGTTTATATTTTAACTTCTCAAAAAATCTTGTTTTGTTACGTAAATTCCGGTAATTGTCTCAAAACTAGGATATGTTCCGAAAACGCGACATGAGCTGAAATCCGGCAATTGTTACAAAATAGGGATATATTCGGAAATGAAATCAAGAATCATCAAAAACTAATTCTCACACCTTTTTATTGATTAAAATTGGCATTTATTGTTTCAATATATAGTTTCAGTCATTTTTTATTAATATGTATATAGTAAGATTTTGTTCTACTCGTTTTGGATTTAAAGATATATACTCTTGAAAAAGAAAACTTTGCAGATTTAGTAATATAGGGAAATAGGAACAAAACATTTTTTCTCATTTGATGATGTTCTTCTGAAGCAAATTCCAAATATTTTTAACAGAAGATTGAAAAAACTTGAAAATTAAAACGGGTCTGTGTACATTACATAATTTCTGTATTTTATGATCAGTAACGATCGACTTCTCATTTAACGGTTTAAATATTTTATCACCTTTGCTCTTGATTAGTAATAGTAGGTGAGGCAGGTGCGGCAGCTATGGGGGGTCCGATGTACCCAGACATACGAGGAGACACATAGAAGTCCATACAGGGGCGGGGTCGTTCAAGAGGAGTTCTTAATCGAGATACACTTGAAACAGGAGCTGGAGCAGGAAATAGAACAGGAAAGGAAACAGGAGCTGTAGAAGCAGGAGCTAGAGCAGAAGGTGGATCTTAAGTAGAATTTAAAAAATTAAGTGGGAATACCGACTTCTACTTTTTTAAAATAAACATTGGTTAAATTTAATACTTTTGGTTGACAGTAATACTTTTAAATAGAAACAGTGACGAAACAGCTGTTGATTTCAATTGTCGTCTTCCTTGACATTTCTCTAACATACATTTTGTAAAAAGGTTCTTTTTTTTAGAAATTTCCAATACTATTTTTCCCTTTATCGAGTTGACTACACAATACTTACATATCGTATTTTGTTCCTTTATAAAACCAATCTTGGTGAGCTTACATTTGTCAAGCAGAAATTTTCACCAGGAATCCCCATTCCCCAATTCCCAATTCCCCATAACAATGTTTAAAATCAAATTTTTACTGAAGTAAGAGAGGAAAATAAACAAAATTATGTCTGACCCGCTTTAAGTTTAAGTACCTTTACCACTACCAGGGTGTAAAAATAACAAAAAATATTCGGATGGAAGTATAAACTTTCTTTTACATTGAGTTTGAGCCCCTTTACGTAGTAAAATTGCCAAAAAATGTGGTTGGAATAAAATGTTCTTTCGCATTAAGTTTCAGTCTCTTCACAAAAATTGAAATAAAAACTATCTTACCACCGTTAACCACAAGAGAAGACATGGAATTATTCTTAGGCTGAAACAATAAAAAAAATTGTGTCTAAAAATAAAAAAATTTAAAAATATTAAAACTTGAGTCATAAAACCGAAATAATTAACATCATGATTTGAAAGAGGCAAAGATATTTGAGCTACAGAAAGTTTGCTTAACATTCAAATTTTCTTTTATCGCTAATGAGTGCGTTTTCTGAACAAAAGTTAGTTAAAGCTATAATAAGTTGAAATAATTTATAGATACAAGTTTTTTGTGGACTTTTACAATTTCGATACTATATTGATGAATAAAAATGATAAGATTTTCAATAAAAATGTTGATTCTAGGTGATTATATTTAGTAGGGACATAACATTTTTACCCCTCAAAACTGCTGAGGATCAATAATAAGTAGAAGCCAAAACTTTTGGTTGGGATAGCGCTTAGCCAAATCGATAAAGCATGGTATCCACAGGGTAAACTTTTAAGGATTAAATTTTGGTTCCGTGGATTTACACTTACCAGAATATTACGCTGAAATATGATAAAGAAATGATTTTAAAACAGGGTTGGCTGTGTCCGACAGCTTAATTAGATTTGATTAAGAACATTACAAACAGATTAAAAAGTTCTAATCCAAGAATAATTATAATTTCTTACCTTGACCGAGTAAATCTTGGTTCCTGTCTGTTCGTCTTCGTCTGAACTACTCCAATCAGAGATTATTTCCTCATCTAAATGTTATACGGAAGTCAAAACATTGAGTAAAATTGCACGAATCTACAGATCTTGATCTCGATATTCGTTGTCACAACTTTTAAATATTTGAGAGGAAGTACTTGAACTCTACATTTAAATTTATCTGTAGATCTGTAAAAGATGGAAATCAATGCTTTATCCAGAGATTGATGATTCACAACAAGTTTTGAGCTTAGAGGAGTATCGTTAATCTTAAACTGCCTTTAAGAAAAGTAATAATGTTGGGGGTAACGAGACTTATGTTGTGCTTTTGCACCCATCTGTTAAAAGCTGTGCTTTTAATCATTTTAATTATATGCGGACCCGAATCCCCTAACCTGGATCCAACTTGAAAAAAGTGGATCCAGATACCGGCCATAAACATTTCTTTAAGATTTACTGATTTTTTGAACAAATGAATAATTGAATTTTTTTCAGTTTTCTGATTTTTTCGGGCTAAAACTTGATTTAACTGTTTGGAACTTCATTCAATTATCTCTCAATTTAAAACAGTTGAAATTTGTGTTTTTGGAGCAAAATGTTTTTTAAAAGATTTCGGTTAAAGCCGAAATGTTGCGGATCAACCAAATTCTGATGCAGGGTTTAATTAACCTTGACAGTGAGGTTTGAAGGGCACTGGCTCGTATAAGGACCACTCTTTGCTAGAACTACTCTCATCACTGTAGTAGATCTCCTGCAATATATAAAAATTTATTTAATTCCACCATATGATCAGTAAATTAACAGGGGTGTATATTTTCATGAAAAATCCCCCCCTCTCTACTGAGAATCTTTCTTACCCCCAGAGATTTCTGTATGTTTGCGTGGAGTGGCGAATTATCAAAAATTTATATTCGCTGCATTAGGGAAAATACATTTTTTGTATAAAAATATGATAAGGATGAAGGGCCCCCCTTTATACTTTATAATAGAGGGTTCAAATCTTCGTCGACTAATTTAAAAAAGAACCCGACCCCAACAAAAATTCTTTGTTGTAAAAAAGGCAACATTAAACATCTCTTCAATGTTGATAAATAGCTACGTTTTAAAAGCCAACAGGTATTATATTCCCCCCCCCCCTCCATTTTAAATACTTTAGTTTTTTTTAGTTTACTCTGTAAATAGGATCAATATTCATCAAGTATGTAATTCATGAATCATGAGATTCCAAAATTATGATACAAATATGTGGATTTTAAAGTATACAGAGAGAAAAACAAAAATGCAATTATTACCTCAGATTCCTCTGTAGTTGAGTCCAGTTCAGATCTGATGGGCTGACCGCTCACCGATAACGTACTCATCTGGTTAGTCATAGAGCCCATAGAGGTCTTTTGAGGAGCTAGACTATATGGAAGCTTGAGCTTCTCTATGTGTGAGCAAGGCAACAAGTCAACCTGGAAAATCAAAAAGTTCCCTTTTTCCACTTTAAACATCTGAATTGGATTTCATCTTAAAAGAATTTTTCAAGTAATTTCAAACTACTTCAAATTCACATAATTAAGTAAAATAAATAATATACTATTGATTGTATTTTAAGCATGCCCAATTTACAACAGTACCATTTAGTCCATTATCTGATCTGTGTGGGAGATTTCAATAGAATTCAATTCTGTCAATTTCCTTCTATGTGTTGTAAATGTAACTTTGTAGAAAGCACACAGTTGAAAATAATCAATCTTTGAGAAGATGATGGATATCTCCTGCATCCATGACCAAACCAAAAATTCATTCTTGATCAATCAAAGGGTGTACGTGTACTGTTGTGAATCGGACAGGCTATTCTACAACAAAGTCTTGCAATTATAATGTCTTGTTTAAAAAGATTAATGATGAGAATTTTAAAATTATGTTCTCTGCATCAGTATTTGAACAAGTGGTTCATAGAATTCATTTTGATGTAAATAATTATTTTTAATAACAAAATTTTATTTATTCTACATTAAAGAATGATGAGAATTTACCTGTTCATACGTACTCTGGACGTCAGATGTAAAGCTTAGAGGTTTTGATTCACTAAAATGTAAAAAACAGAGTTTGTTTACTTTTTTGAAAATCAACCCCATTTTTAGAATTAAAAACATGAATAAGCTAAACTTACCATATAACACTGATCACTGGCCTTAGGTATTAAGTATATTTTAAAAACGGAAAACCTTTATTTTTTCAGATTCTGCAGTCAAATGCTTTTTTTAAGTCTAAACTACAAAGTTAAGTGGACTTGACATGGATTTCTAAAAATAAACATGCTTTTTCTAGATTCGACAACTCGATCGTAATATGTAAAACCTTCGATTTATTCGGCTTTTAAACCCTACTCAGATCCAAGGGCGAGGGTTCAAACCCTCGTCCCAAAATAGCTTGCTCCGGGCATTCCAACCGTCGACAGAGATTTCTAAAAATCTACATGCAAGTTCTAGACTAGACTACATGAACAAATTCAAAATCTGTAAAATTTCAGAAGATTTTGTGGCCTTAATTGTCGTTCAAGGGAGTGACCGGCTATGTAAAGTAGTTGAACTGAGTATGCAGTGTTATGGAAAACTTCTTTCTGTAAATAATGAGAAACCAGAATAATGAGAAAATAGAAACTAATAATTGAACAAGGTTACTTATTTTCGCTGATAAGATTAATTTTTTTCTCAACATGGGCCTATACATGACGTCTGTAGTTTATTGTAGAACATTTTTTTACATTTTATGTCGTCGTTATTTAATAATTTATAAAAACTAATTCTGAAAACGTATCCATCCACTAAGGAGTTTTGAACGTCGACTTTGCACTAAAACTCAGGATTTACAGATCATTAAAAAGTTTAATATGTCTCAAATGAATCCGGAAGAATTTGTCCAAAACACTGCATACTCAGTTCAACTACCTTACATAGCCGGTCACTCCCTTTAAGTGAGAGAAAACATTTAAGATTCAACTATTGAAGGAGATGGAAGGAACACCACACCCGTCTTTTTTCCTTTCCGCGTAATTTCTGGTAAAGATTGAACTTCTCATTTTCAAAAACATTTTTAGAGAAGATAAACATCAGCAGGTATGTCCGAAATGTTATAGTTAAGGAGGAAATTGCAAAAAAGCAACGTTGCAGCAAGACAAAACGCGACTGGGAGCGGGAAAAAAGGGCTATAGGTGAGCATCCTGTCGCAATTTAATTTTGTGACCTCATTCGCAGAAAGGAAGAATAATAGGTGACCCCCCCCCCCTTTAATGAAGTTCACCTGTAAATTCTTGCATTAGGTTCCAACATCTGAACATGCTTGTTTCCATGGTCATAACTGAACAAAGATATTATTTTAGAAAATATTCCATTGTCACAATTCAAAAGGTTACTTTTTCCATTCCACAAATTTATAAAAAGGTTACTTTTTCCATTCCACAAATTTATAAAAATTAGAAAGTAAAATCAAAAGAATTCATACAAGTTGATTTCGTAGGGAATGGTTTATCAATTTAACCAGAAAGAGACCATACCTTATACAAATTCATAAATAAATGCGATTTATTTTTTCTATTTTTATCATAAAATGGCTCTCAGCTTACACTTTTTAAAATTTGATAAATATTTTTGCAAAGGTCTTAGAATAGTTAGGCGAAGGTGTATCACTAGAACTCTACTCTATGCTTGGTTCCAAAATGAACCCACCCTAGTATTCATTTTTAAGAATTACCCCCCCAGGGAGCTTTTTATCCTACTAAATAAATTTCAGCAGAAAAACACTGAATTTGTTTACGTAACTTCTGAGGAATTTTTTTTTCCAAAACGGGTGGGGTTATTATTTTTTAAGAAAATATAAACCCATGTTTATTTTTTGCATCCCTATTATCTCCCAGTAATGAAGAGATAAAAAGTAATTATTAAATACCTATTCAGCACTTTGATCAGACGTTGATCTAGAACGTCCACCCAATCTTTAGGTAGGACTTCATTGTACTCACTTTTATAAGTTCTCTCAACCTTCAATAAAAAAATATTTTCAGGAACAAAAGTACATTTATTTGATCTTTTGAAGCAAAGATAGAGAAATTACAAAGATGGTTAGTCTTTTAAGATTGATACATTTATGAAAATAAATTTGTTTCATTTTAAATTCTTAAAAACATTTCTTGGTTAGAAGAAATAAAGACAATAATTAGTCTGCTGTTATACATGTGTAAATTCAGATCCAGAGGGAGAAAATATTTAGGATCCAGCTTATCTGATTCCAAATATATTTAAGGTTGATTAAGGATTGAAGATTAAAATGTTTGAACAAGAGAATTTTACAAAATGTCACAATTCTGAAAATTATATTTTCTTAAAATCTTATTGAACAAAAAACAAGCCTCCCCTACCCCCCTTGGGAGAAAGGGGGTAATGGTTTTTGTAGGTTAAAGGGGAGGGGGTATAAGGAGTTGGAAATCAAATGGCAGGATTGATTTCCGTCTTAAATGAATTTATTTTGACCATATTTAATTTTAATTTTCCCTTACATCTTAAATCCAGAAAATAATTATTTTACATAAAATTCTGGCTGTGACTTACATCAGCGGAGAGAGATCCATATTTTCTATTTTCCAGGAGTTTTTCCACTTTCCGTCCATATTCCTCCCAGTTACCCTTCGGTTCAGTCCTTTTAACAATGCAATTACAATAACACCCATAAAACCTCAAACCACAGAAACAGGATTGTGCCTCCAGAAGGTGACCCTATCCGTGACTGGCAGATCAAACTTCTCTAGTACCAATGAAAGATGAAGCGAAAGGCACACCAGATCCCAAACCATCATACAATAGGGATAAGCTCGACATTACAGATACACAATCCAAAGTCCTTTTCATTAGAGCAAAGTTTGAAAATTTCCTACAGAGATACAGAGAGCCAACATCATAAAGCAGCAGTTAACTATGTTAAATCCGTCAGCAATTGCTTTGTGAATCAGATAACAAGATATCATTGGAAAATTCAGAAGATCAGTGCATCTATATATATATGTCTGTGTAATGGGTATTATTTGTGCGAAAAAGTTTTTGCAGGGATTTTTATCTTTTCTAGTTTGTTTAAGATCAAAATATGTTTACACTGAACGTAGTAACGTGTGAATATACTTATATAAATAGTAAAAGTTACAACAAATCTTTAATGCACACATGATACCCATTACAATCACATATCTAATTTTATTCAATTTTACTTAACTTATTTAATACGGGCCGAAGTTACTTAATCACCTTGTAAGTTACTTTATCACTCTATTGTAGGGTGATAAAGTAACTTTATCACCCAAAAACAGGAAAAGTTGGGTGAGAAATTTGAAATTTTAACAGCAGGGTAACCAAGTCACTTTATTGCCCTGTTGTAGCGCCATAAAGTCACTTTTTCGGCTTGTTGTAGGGCCATAAAGTCACTTTTTCGCCCTGTTGTAGGGGATACCAGGTACGATATGAGACCATTTGAGTTAAAAACGAGTTTATTGCATAGACATGCTTAATTGCATTGATTTAATCAATATACAAGATTGATAAACGAAATGGGAGCATTGATGCATAGATTTACGTAAGAAAATACATACAAAATTATATTCAGCTGCTTAGTTTGCATCTATGCATTCTGTGCAGCTGTATATAAACTTTTATGTATTTTCTTTAAAAAGTCTATGCAGCATCTATGCTAACTATGCAGCCGTTAAACTTGTGTGTATTTCTAATAAAAGTCTATGCATCTTTGCATCCTATGTATATAAACTTTGTATTTTCATATGTTGATATTTATAACATATTTATGCATCGTTTCATGTTATACATGAATTTATTAGTATATTATTATCTTTATTATGTATATTAACTATGCAACTATGTATCCTTATGCATTTAATAAAGGGTATTATTTTTCCTATCGTCTCATATAAAGCCACGTAATCCCCCTACAACGGGAATTACTAGTTGTGATAAACTCCTTCAAAATTGAATAAAAATCATTGTGTATTATAATTGGAAAAAAAGCAATAAGATATAAAGTAAAATTTTTTAAATATTGCAACACTTATTTAGTTAAATTAATTAAGTGCCACGTTACCCAGGGTATTATACGTCTCACCGGGAATAATACGGAAACACTTTAAACAATTAAAAATGTTAGACATATAAAAAACTAACATAATTTGTTTTAAGAGTTATAACCTGTTCTGGTTTGAATCTTTTGGAGTAGGTTTTGATAAACCATTTGCAGAAATACTGGGACTAAATAATAAATATTGAAAACATTGAATAATATAATAAATTTATTAACGTGACATACAATCCTAGAAAAAAAAATTGTGGAAATAAAAATGAATGTTTAATAGATTTTTTTGACTAAAATCAAAACCGAATTTTACACATTTGATTTGATGATTTTCTTTAAGAATTTGACAGCAGACCTAAAGATAAAAAATCCGATTAAGAGGAAATATATTTTGGTCAAATCAGATTAGATCAAATCATTTTCGGATCAATCAGATTAAGATTGGATTAGCTAAAAAAATGACTGACTATCATATGACGTAAAAAACAGGTTAACAAGATGCCGAAAATCAAATTTTTATCATTAGTATTGAGAAAACTGAATCTATAGATTATCAAGATTATGTTACCTAAAGTATACAGTCGACGATCCAATATTCTTGTGTGACCCAGGTCTCATGCTTGCAGGAGTAGGTCTACTACTTGTTGGAGTAGAACTACCATTAGATGAGGAAGTTCTACTGCTCGCCAAAGTAGCTCTATAGCTGTAAGGATTCTTGAACGGAGTAGGATTGTTCATACTTGAGGAATATCCACCAAAACTTCCTCCAAAACCGCCTCCATAGCCACCTCCATAGCCACTTCCACTTAAGAAAATCAACATAGATTCAAAAAGACCTTCTTAACTCCACAAATAGGTAGACAACAAATTTCAATATAGAAAATAATTATCACATTTCAGTGATAAGCGTAACTTAAATTGCATCAAATAATACTTCTAGGAGAGTCCTACTTCAAAACTTCAAATTCAAAGCGACTATACTAAATCAAACATGACGCCTGGGATTACGATTTGTTGTGATTGTAATAGCTAAACCCGACCAAAATATTTTTTAAATTTCTTTTTCTGATTAGAGAAGTGTGAAATAACTTTATGATTCCATAATAAAAGGTCAATACGCATGGAGTGTTTCCAGAAAAAAATAGGTTTACTGCTACATTTTTTCGGAATACAGTAAATATTTTCCCTCCAATTTGATGATATAGGTCTAACACTCGCCGCATACATCTTGAAAAATTGTGTACAGCTGTAGGGAGTATCATACGAATATCCTCAATAAGTTCCTGAAAAACCACCTGGACCAAAACCTCCAAAGCCACCTTCACAAAAGAATATCAAAAAACATGAAAATTATCAATTAACAGAATTAAAATTCAGGGGTTTAACAATAAAACTATCTAAATTAAACTGTAATACCCACTAAAAAAAAGTAGCCAAATTAATTCAATTCTGAAAAGCTAAGAACGTAATTTTGATATGCCTTTAACTAACCTCGAACAAATTAAATTAAGAAAACCCATTTTTGTCTTCCTACATCTTAATTTTTTTAGTTGCAGTAGCATCGAAAGGATGGCTGGGGGAGGGGTGACGGGTACCTAAAATTTCTCTTTCCTCCCTTCTTCTTTTTCCTCGCAATTGGAGTTTTCTCTTGCATATCCTACAAAATATTAATAAAAGATAACACTAAAAACAGTGATAAGTATCCGGAAAGCTCTGCTGACACCCTTATCGCCAATTAATCTGGATACTAATTTGCAAAATAAGATCCAGAACATTGAAAGTTAAAAATATTGGTATAAAAAGAGAAGATTGTGGTAAATGTAAGTTCCAACAATCAAGCAGAATAAATATTTAATGTGAATTTTTATAAAAAATCTATATATCATAAAAAACATAATGACATAATCTTTACTAGTAAAAACTACTTTTGTAACCTAAGACTTTTGGAAAATGTAATAATTTAGCACAATTATTTGTGTGAAAATCCTTTCGGTGATATTACAAAAAAACACTTTTGTGTTAATCTGAAACATCATTAACTATCTATAACACTGTTATTTTGGTTTGCAGTGTTATAAAGTTTTTGGAAAGAAATTTTCTCTTTATGGAGTAGGCTCAAGCCTTTTTAGATATAATTTTATCCCGAGCTTTAGCGATTCCAAAAACTTTATTGCACGTCGTTCGTGAAACATATGGCTATTTCTAGACCAAATAAGCTTAGAAACAAAGCAGAAGTCAAAATATAAGTTCAACTGATTTCAATTTTATTTTAATTTCAATTAAAATAAATATTTTGGAAATATCCTAAATTCTTATGAGTAAATCCGGGAACCAACCAAAACTTTATAGCTCATATATCATTTATCATTTATCATAATATCATTTATTTCTGTCTTCTTATCTTGAAATAAATGATTTGTATAACTTTATTGCACAGCTGTATTTCTCTATCAGTGAATGCACTGAAATAATTCTGGTTACAAAAATATAGAGGATTTTACGTATAGAGAAGATAATCCTCTTTAAACAAAATCTGGTCTATACGACAATTCTGAATATTAATTCTGATATAAGAGTTGCAGCGCAGGTTAACAGCTAACTTAGCTTTATCGCACGATGATTACTTTATAGCACGTTCATTATTAAATTCACGATGAAGTGAGGAAGAATGATAAAGTACACAATAGTTTCATAAAATAATTTAATTTAAGCGCAAACCAATTTGTTCATTTTTCCTCTACATGTCAAAATCTTTTAAATAACTCCCTCAAGTGCTTAGGATCTGGATCAGAATTCATTGGATTCCATAACATTTTAGCGGTATCCGGATTCCGGATCCAAGTTCCAAAAGTTCAACCTAACAAAGAGAAGCACAAATATGTGTAGATTGTTAGTTAGTGATCTCATGGGTCAATTTTTTTCCAAGACTGATCCAGGATCCGGTTCCGCATCAAATGAAATGTATCCTAAGCACGGTTTCTCTGAGAATATAAAACCTTCAAGACTCACCACAACGTACGCAGTTTCATTTGTTCGGACCATGTGAGCCACCAATTCTCCTCTCTCCATTCTTAACCTAAATCAAAATCTAATTTTTCTTCAAGGTTGAGACATAAGCCAACATTTTTGATGGCTCTTAGAGTTCATTCTCAGAGTAAGTAGCGAACTTTATCCATAGGAGTTTCAAAGGTAAAACGTATCAAGTGGAAAGAAAATTATTATAACAATTCATCATAACCCCTCATTCAGGTTTCACAACCACTCCCTTTAACACCTGCAGGTTTCGGGGATGCTTCTGAGAAATGTCTCCAGATTAGAGAACCCAAACTTCTAAAAATAAATAAAATATTGATTAATTTTAAATGTAATTAAAATGTTAAAATGTGGAAAATCCTTGTCTAAACAAACTTAATACAGTGCTTCTAACAGCGAATTTTTAATATCAGACCGTATGTCAGTTGGGCTTTTTTACCTAAGTAGGCTGGGGTTGGGGGCATTCTTCAACCCCCCTTCCCTTTCAATGATTTTGCTGTCAAGAGGCAAAATGTTGAATTATGATCTATATCCATGTTCCAACTTTTCAAGGTCTCCTTATTTATAAAAATTGTATACTATTTCGAATGGTTCAGGTTCTTGGGAGGTTTAAATCAAGGTACAAAAATGTCGCAAGAAAAAAATACTTTTACACAACTTTAATATTTAGCACGTTTTTGTAAACATTTTTTATCCATTAAATATCCATTTAAATTGAAGTGATGGGAGAAAAGGAAAGGGAGAAAAAAGTTGAAAGGAAAGGGAAACAAAATTGGAATGGAGGGGAGATGAAATTGAAGGGAAAGTATGAAATAAATGTAAATTTGTTAAGCACTCTTCCATTTCATCAGGCATTTTTTGCCTTCTAACCAAAACATCTCCTCTAAAGGGATAGGGTCATACCAAAACAAAGGGACAATTTGAATTTTTTGTTAAATAATGTAAGTGACCATCTCCGATATGGCTGAAGTTTGATACCGGGAATGCTTGGGAAAAAAATATTTCCCTTTAAGGGCTGACCTCTGAAGGCTACAAAAATCAGAAAAAAATTGAAAGAGAAAAGCTTTTTTGTAAATTTTTTGTTTTGAAAATAAAACGTTCAAATTTAATTTAAATAACCCGTAGATAGGAATTTCTTAAGGGGGGGGGGCACAAAAGTATAAAATAACGTAGATAGATAAGTAAGGAGCGCACCCCAGCTCAGGGGAAAAATTTTGTTAACCTAAAAAACTCAATAAGGACAAAAATTAATGAACGTTGACACCTTCTCTTTGATTCCATGTCATGTGTCGTGTTCCCACACTGTTTGAAAGATTTGTAGTAATCAAAATTTAAATCGAAAGTCATATTCCTTGTCTTGATATATACGACAATGATTGTACCTTAAATGGAACAGGCTCCTGGCATATATTTTCATAATCCTGACAGAAACTGCTTAATCTAAAATATTTAACAATCAACAATCAACATATGGTTTAAGGAACTCTTTAGAAAAGCCCAAAGGTTAATGCATGTAAATTTGTACAGATACAGTTCTGTCGACAATGCAATTTTTCAAACAAAGCAAAAAGTTATTTTTATTTTTCCGCACAACAAGGGAAGAATACGCTAATGTGTCGGAATTATAAACTGCGTAGAAGTCCTCCAAATTTCAATTTAATTTCAAAGATTCAATTTTTTCATTTGTTATTTCAAGTAACCCTCCGTAACAGTGTTCACAATGGTAAGCTTATAAGATTTGTATGATAAAACTACATAAAATATCTATCATTTACAATTAAAAAATTGATATTTTTCAGTTGCAGTTTCTTTATCATGTGACTTGCAGATTTTTGCTTTAAAAACAATTGAAGAAATCGTCAGAATTTAACACTTTAAGTTAGGAAAACGCCACCAAATTAATCAGAAAAGATGTTAAGAGTATCAGTTGTGAATCAGGCATGTCTCTACTTATATGGAGGTTAACTAGAAATTACAAGGACAGTCTTTTGAATTATGATAGGCTAAAATCTGAGTTAACCCATTATACAAACTTTACAAATTAATTATAAGTTTTCTTTTGGCAAAAGGTTATTTCATGATATTTAAACTAACGGAAATATAGTAAGACCAAAAATACTGTGGGATAGAAAGACGACAATCAAAAGTGTACATATTTAAAGTTAAAAAAGGGTTTAAAGCTTAAAAATCAACGTGAAATGGATTAGTGTTTACCATACCAGTCTTGTATTTCATGTTCATAATATATCAAAAATTATATAACTGAAGTCTAAAAGTCGTCTTCATATTCCACCTTTTAATAGGTTTCCTTGTAACATTGAGAGAATAAAACTTACCGCACTCCATTTGTCCCGTTAGCAAGCAGAACACTCCTAAAATATTACAAATGGAACTGTAAACTAGGGGGGCCGAATTTTAGATTTTTTTAAATCTAAATTTTGTCAGTAAGTATTGGATTAGCCTATGGCCTATGGATTGGCTTATACTTAAAGAAAAAAAGTTTTTCTGTAAAATTAAGATTGCCATTCGAAAATGACTATGTCGATATGGGAATCTAAAGATGTGTGAGAATCCGATGATTACTGTTCATTTGTTTTCGTATCGATATCTTGAAAATTGTTTGATACTCTCTCGGTATTTGTTGATTTTTGATGGAAGACGACAACCTAGGCTACCTTTTCAAATTCGTTAAGAACGTTCATCGTATCAAAAAATCGGATTTTTTTCTAGATTTTGGCCTAATTTTTGGCTCAAAATCATTTTTTTGCCACCATCTTTATTTTTTTTACGTATTTTAATGATTTCAACATTTCTGAGTTCAGTTTTCAATACAGGTCTTTGAATACGCCATTCGACGCATTTTTTTCGCCGTTTGCGTTAATGATTGTTATACTTATATAAATTCTATAAATCGTCCTTTGAAATTGTTGCTTGCATCTTGAATCTCTTCCAATTCCGAGAGACGTACAGTGCAATTGGAAAAATCGACCCCCTTACTGTAAACGTAATTTAAAGTAAGCTTTCAATTAAACATGACAATGCCCAATTCACAATGGGTACCCTTAGAAGCTTTGTCTGATCAAGTAGGAATGAGATATTGGTGTTATCAATTTGTATAACCAATTATTTTCAGTAGTGCGTTCTCTGCCGCGGAAACACAGTAAAAATATCCAAATTAAACACTTTAAACCTAGAAAAAGAGAAACAATGTCTTCAATATTTATTATTAGACATAGTTTTCAAGGTTACTGTTATGAATCGGCCATTCTCTCCCCCCCCCAAAAAAAAATACCCTTTTTCACCTTTCAGGTCGCTAGAATTTTATTTTATTTGGAACACATAAATGAATATCGTTAATACAAAACTGTGTTAAATCATAATTCAAAATAATGAGACTGATGATCAAATTCGAAGTTACCCTTCTTATAAAAGAAGTAAGAACACAACTGAGGAAACAATCATTGTGTTTTTTGTATCTCTAAGTGTTTAATTCTGTAAATTGCGTTCTTAATCTATGCAGCATAAAATAGTAATCACTTAACCTTCAAAAGTTTTCAATTTTCTCGTAAAAATTGCGCCTTATTTAGATATTTTTTAGTTAAATTTAGTTCAGTGTCTGTACTTCGTGTATTCTACTTACGTTATGTATAACTTGGTTTCTTCCAGGTCGCTCATTTTAAATCTATCTTAACACTTTTGACGAAATAAACAAGTTTAATACATTTTTAGACCCCCTCCCCCCAATCAATTTTGTACATATCATGCACCTTAACAAGATATATGGCCTAACCACAAGGAAATAAAATCCTTAAATTTGACATTGAAAGTCCTACAAAAAAAATAAAGTTTAAAGGTCTTAGGGAAAAGTCGGTGGCGGCTAAGCCACGTTGGAGGGCCGAGCGCTGCAGCCATGGCTGTAAAAATCGTAAGAATAAGAGTCTTTATAATTTTAAGTTGAGAGAAGACGACATTACTTAAGTTTTTTGACTCCCTCATTGGAGGAGGTAATTTCCCAGCGCACGATTTCTGGACCCCCCCCCCCCCCTATCAATTTGGTACATAGATCTCATGTGGATCACATGGAAATAATTTGTGATGTGGCCGCAGAACCCGGCCTACTAGCCTGTTCTGGCTGCGGCGCTCGGGACCATAGCCTGTCCTAGCCGCAAAGCTCGGAACAGAAATTGTTTTAATTTAACCTAACCCTAAAATAATAAAAATAAATAATAATATTGATGCTGAAAATTGGTGGTCATGTACAAAATTGATAGAGGGTTGGGTCCGGAAACGTTCTCCAGGATCCAGACCCTCTATTTCTATGACTAATAAAAGAACAGAGAAAAATCTTGTTTGAAAAAAAACTAAAATACATCCTTTAAAGTCACAATCAAAAAAATATTTGGATTCGCGCCAAATTAAAAATATTTACCCCCCCCTACAGAATCCTTATGTCCGCCCCTGCTGGAAACTTTTATGAAGGACTTTTTTGGCGGTTACCTTTTTTTAATTGTTGAAGGGCTGGGCTCTATGTTCAATTAAATAGCAAAATATTTTATTATTCATAGCTTGTTCTTGTGTTTACATCCAGCAACGAATGACATCTGTATATTAATTAACCCTTTTATCCTGGGGGGGGGGATGATTGGTTCCCTGAAGGGAACCGGGTCAATTTGACATTCCCCTATCGTTTTTAATTTTGTGATGATTCAAAAAGGAAGCTTAAATTTTCCAACTACACATGCCCATTAGTTAAGGGTAAAAGCTAGGCTTTTATACCTACTGCCTGAGTCCTCAGTCAGTCAATAGCTCTTTAGGAAGCCATATAACAAAAGCAACCAGATTGCACAATTTTTGCAAAGAAATTTTGCACAGATTTTTGCTTAGACACCTTTAAAGAAAATTTGCACATTTGAATATTAGGGTTTAAAAATTTTTGTCTTAAATGTTTTTTTTGCAACATTTTTGCTTAATGAAATAGAAAAAAAAATTTCAGATTATTTTATACATATCAAAGGTGTTCGATATTGGGTTGTAAAGATATAGAGATAAGAAAATCAGAGTTTGTGGCTAGAACTCAGTTTGCTTCATGTTTATTTATTTCTTATTATATCTTCTATTTTTGTAAAATCCAGGAAACCAAGAAGGATTAATTATGTGGACTAAGATTTAAGTATGGATCAAGCTTACCTGAGTGAGGAATGAATTAGAAGACAAGGTAATAAATATCCAGGTAAACTTATAAGTTTAAATGGGGATTAGAAATAAAAATCATAATGATCCGGAAGGGATAAAGGGTTCCTTTCAGTTCAGTGTTCACTATCAAGTAAACGAACCTAAGGAGGTTTAAAAAATTAAACTTAAATATGTATGTTTTCACAATTAAGAAAAAAATCGAACACACAACTTTGGCGTTACAGGCTCAAAGCTGAACAAAATTTTTATTTCAAATTGGATAAGTAATAATTAAAAAAATTCAAAAGAGCTAAGCACTTGCCACAAACTCTTATTATTTTAACTCTAAATCTTCGTAACTTAATGTTGTAGACCTTTTGACCTTGCAGATTTTATAGTTTGAAATATGAAAGGTCAACGATGTCAGGATGCAAAGTTATAGTTTAGTTAATTATACTTTGTTGTGAGCTGTTCAGTTCCTAACTTGGGACCCAGTGCTGCCAGATTACTAAAAGTTACTTCCGCCGTTTACCCGCACTGGAACGATTTTACCGAGATACTAGATTAGAATTTCAAAACCAAGATAAAAAGTTCTCCAAGTTCCCCAATCAAAATTTGAGGCAAATCGGTCCAGGGGTTCCCGAGTTTTGATCGGACAGACAGAAAGACAAACAGAGATTACAACTTTATTTTATAGATTATTATTTTTCTGTAATTATAAGTTTTATTTTTCAGGAAACCATAATGCAAGCAAGCTAGCCACGTTGTTTAGCAGCAATAAAGGAACTGAGTTGTGGCCACAAATTCTGATTTTAAAAAGCTATATCTTTGCAACAGCTGATGGTGTAAACCTTTGATATTTCAAACTATCATAATTTGATCTAAAATGATTGATAGTTTGAAATATCTTAGGTCTCCGACATTAAAATACAAATACATCGGGATAAGAAAATCAGAGTTTGTGACAAAACTCAATTCCTTTTATCATCTCAATATTCCTGATTATACAAGCACATCCTCACCGGAGAATATTACTACACAGTGCACAGTACAAACTGTAAAGCAATTAGATGATATTAGCATCAATCAATTCATGATACAACACTAAAGAGAATAGATTATAATACATTCTCTTTTTACAATACTAAAAGTGACTTAAGGACGGAAAACAAATTTATAAGATGTTCTAATTCAGTCTCAATTTTACTGCTGCAGAAACATGGTTGTGATTTGAGATGTGATGTGATTTATAAAAACTAAAATTATAGTTTTGAAAACCCCCATTAATCAAAGAATACAATGTAAATTGAGTGCAACTATGTGTAATTTGTTTAGCAATGTGCCCAATGTAACTAACTACCCATGATTTGATATCGTTTGACATTGCATTTTATTTTAATGGTAGAAACTTTGTTTTATTTATTATACTGATATGTGAGAGGGGCTAGAGAATGCCCCCCCCCCCTCCTAGCAAATCTTAAAGTTCTGGTTGAAATTTAGATTTTTTTTAGTTTACAGTATACAGCCCTCCTTTCTTTATATTCTAAATGATTATGTTCCACATAATGCTCCCATCCATAAACCAAGTTTTCTGGCATTTAAAATGTTTTGCATATATTCAAAGTAGTATAATTGCAAAAAATAAAAATAAACTTCATCAAATTTTGACAGAGTTTCCAATTACAAGATTAGAGAGAATAGCTGTAGCTGTCTCCGCACATGTTTTATAGGGTAATTTAATTACGTTACTCGATTTAAGCTAATACCGTTAAGTATTCAATTGAAACGCAGTTTGAATGAACAATGTCATTTTGACTAAGTTTACAAAATTAAATCAAAAATAATACTGCAGGTTTACAGAACATCATGTTTCCACGATTTTTGCTACACCGGAACAAACTATATCTAAACAAGAAAAAGTTCCTGAACTAAATATAACTAAACAAGGAACATTTACGAAACTAAAACTATAACTAAATCAGATATTGTTCCTTAACTAAATATAAAACTAAACCAGGAACAGTTCCAGAACTAACCACAACTAAAAAAGGAACAGTTACTGAACTAAGCACAACTAAACAAGGAATAGTTCCTAAACTAACTATAAATAAACAAGGAACAGTTCCTAAACTAACTATAACTAAACAGGGAACAATTTCTGAAATAACTATAACTAAACAAGGAAGAGTTCCTAAACTATAAAACAAGGAACAGTTCCTAAACTAACTAAGTTATTAAGTTTTATTAAGTAACCAATGAACATTGTTTACATTGTACAATTCCAAACTTTTTTGTTTATTTTCTATTGATTCAATTAATCAAAGAGTTTTACTTGTTTCTTAGTTTGTTCATCGCTCACACTTAGTGATAGGCATTTTCACACTTTTTAAAAGTCGTTCATTAACGCCAACAGTTAGTTTCAATGGTTAAAAAAACTATTCAGGTATCCGTTCTTTATTAATACAGGGTATCTCACGAAACAAATAATTTGCGATATTTATTCGTAAACCAAATTTTATAAGTAAAATTCTAGAGTTAATAGTCACAAGTTCAAAATGTGGTCTGCCTTTTTTTGCTCTCAATATTACCGGAGATATGATTAATCTGAGATAAATTCTCAAAATCTGCGGCAATATTGACAGCATAATAAAAGCAGACCATATTATGGAAATACCAGGACTAGGAGAAGTGTGTGGTTATTGTTTTAAGAATCATACATGTGAAAAAACGACTGAATGTTTCAAATAAATCCAAATATCAAGATTACTTTCATATCGTCTTGTTACTGTCATGTTTCGTTGGACACCCTGTAGCTAAGAACGGAATGTTCCGTTTGTTAACGGTATTTTCCGCAAAGGAAAGTTACCGTTTGTTAATGTTCTTAATTTAGGTAACTGGGTTAACGGAAGATATTTCAGAAATCGTTAACGCTGTTGCAGTTGCTCACGAGCAGTTACGATTATTTCAATTAAAAATGGCAGGAAAAATTTGAAGCAACATTTAAAACATCAAAACTTTCAGAAACGTGCCGTTCATTTACTTGCCCAGCTCTACTCTCATTCACATCAGTAAAGGAAAAAACTGTACGGACCTTTTGTCTAATTTGTTTTCCCTTGCATTCAATTACCAAATATGCATGCACTCGTTAACAAAGTTTAAATCAAATCGTTTGTTTATTTTAGATGCAGAATTAATTTTAACAAAAAATGTAATAATCTACTAATATAATTAAATCTACAGATTTACTGGTGAGTGCAGGTCATTGATTCACACATTTAACTTCAATTATTTTTATAAAAATAAAGATAAAGGCGCTGATTACAATCTTTGTTATAGTTTTCCATTACTAATTTGTGATGAGTTGTAATCTATAGATTAATTGACAATAAAAGATAGGACACTAGAGATTGTCTTTTTAAGATTTAGGGTTTTTTAGTTCACGCTAACCTTGAGGAAGAAGCCCAAAGGAGTTCTGCGCAGACATTGCATGCTCTCTCTCTGTTTTGTAATTTAACGCTGCCTGAGTGGAACTCCTTTAGGCTTCTGCCTTAGGGTTATTGTGAACCAAAACCCCTAAATCTTGATAAGACGAAATCTGGTGTCCTATCTGTTATTGTTAATAAATCTATGGTTGTAATTAAAGTTTTTAAACTGTGTAAACTGTATATATTGTAAACAAAGCAACAAAAAATGTCATTAAACCGTAAATCAATGAACCAGAAAACTGAGCTGAAAACTTAAGAATGGGATATCCTTAATCCCGATCGGTTAAATAATCTGGAGATTAATAAAAAGAGGACAACGAGCGTTATTTAATCTCGAGATTTAGAAAAAGAGTGGATCCCGAAATTAATTCCGATATCCACCATTCAAAAGTTCCAAGCTCTGATGTTTATAAAAAACTTAAGCAATGATCCGCCAGACAATTAATGAAACAATTCTTTTATAAAGAGCGGCATCTCGGATTCAAGAACGTTCTGAAAGGGACTCCATTTTAAGATGGCAATGCCCGATTCACAATGGTACTTTTCAACCATATTTATCTGATAAGTTATATCGTGGGATCGAGATATCGTCGTTTTTTTGGTTTAAAAATATTTAGTTTAAAAATAAAATGAAAAATGTAAATGAAAATTAAGAGACTTTCAGAAACGACTTAACAAATTAAACACTGTCTGTTTCATCATATTCTGTAAACTCGTTTTTTTTCTTTTCTAAATGATTGCAGAAGCAAATTGAAGAAAGACTAAATTCAAGACAGAAGACCAAACCTTCAGACTTAGTAAAACCTAGGACCTGATGATGTGGATTATCCGGTAGATTTACAGATTATGGGCAACGCCGGACACTTTACCTAACATATAGGGTTAGCCCCAATGGATAATACTTGTAAGACGACCTTAAAGTGTTGTTCCGCCCTGTATTGAATAAAGTAGCATGTTCGGCCCTCTATTGAATAAAGTAGCATGTTCGGCCCTCTAAATTGAATAAAGTAGCATGTTCGGCCCTCTAAATTGAATAAAGTAGCATGTTCGGCCCTCTATTGAATAAAGTTTAAGTAGCATATTCGGCACTCTATTAATAAAGTAGCATGTTCGGCCCTCTAAATTGAATAAAGTAGCATGTTCGGCCATTGAATAAAGTAGCATGTTCGGCCCTCTATTGAATAAAGTAGCATGTTCGGCCCTCTATTGAATAAAGTAGCATATTCGATTCACAACGAAGTCCGTAAAGGCTTTATCTTATCCTTTTTTATATGGAGGGTCACCTACAATTACGACGCCTGTTCCTTTAGTGAACATCACATTTATAGACCGCCCTTTCATTTTATATTGTGGATATACAGGGTGTCCCATGTCATTTGGATCGCGTGGTTTATGGCTCTAAATCACGATTTTCTGAACTAATCAGAAATTTTAAAAAAAATGAATTATTTTCATAATTTTTCGAGTATAATGTGCGTATTTCATTATAAAGTTTTGAAGATAATCCAATATGATATGATACGCAATGTACGATAATTTATGATTTTTTAGAAAACATATTGATAAAATATATAATTGATAGATCGGTATATATGTAATCATCCTTCTCACTACCCACAGTCCAACCAGGCCAACCAACATGTTTTCCCAGGCTTAATCACATTCAGGCAGTTTCTCCTCTTTCACCAAGCCAATGCCTGACCGGAAATGACGTTCTAACTTCCCTTTTCCTGCTTCACCAGAGACGTGAGGGGAAGGGGGGAGGTCGAAAGCTACAGAGTATCCCAAGAAACATGAGAGTTGGCGAATAATTTAAAATGTCCTCTTCCACTTAAGTTGTTTAATACCAAAGAGAATTCTGAATTATAAGAAAATTGATTTCAAAGTAAAATTTATTTTCAAATCAAATCAAATCAAATATATATATTTGTCCCAAGCCAAAAACAAAGAAAATATCATATTTTAAAACATATTTATAAACTTGAGACGGGGAGGCATTGATAGCCAGGGGCTGTTTAGCACGCAGCCTCCCTCTGGAGAGTCAGTTTTTGCAATGATGCTGACTTGAAGAAGAGGTGCTGCTGGATGTCATGCTGCTCATGGGATGGAGGGAGCTGGAGCCACTGGAGAGGATACAGTTCATAAACGTACAGATTATAAGATTTATTAAGATTTTATTGAACGAAAAAAATGCAAAAAGTCTTTAATATCTAAACAGTATAGGGAAGAAGACATTCCAAATTATTTACCAACTGTCATGTTTCGTAGGACACCCAGTACCTATTTAAAGATGTACAGGATGTATGGTATAACGATGCAGGGAGAGCCAAAATAAAGTGGATTTTATTTATATCTTCTAATGTCAAAACAGAGGAGGAGACTTCAGAGACGACTGTATAGAATGAATACTATATGTTTCCATATCATTTAGGATTCTTTCAACTATACAGTTCTGCCTTTCTTTGGTTGAAACAGTAAAGACCACATTGAAATTCGTCTATTCACTCCCATGTTGATTGGGACACCCTGTTAAAGAATCGTAACTTTTGACATCAAAGTTTGCTAAACAGTGGTTTTAATTTTTATACTGGGTATTTCCCTAGCGAGGTTTTTATCCTTTGTATGTTTTTTACGTATGAAGGAAAATTGACAGGTCTAGGGAGTATAGGTAATTCCAAAGATCCCAACATTGAAAATGATTCATTCACAATTTACAACGGGTCCCTAAGATCCCCCCAGTCTGAGGAGAGGTCTCTGAGAACCATCAAGCCTGGGGTAAAGTCCCTGAGTAGTACTTCTCTGTCAAAGGAGAGGGCCCTGCAAACCCCCCAGCCCAAGGAATGCTCCGAAAAAATCCCCAAGACTGTCCGTGTAACTAATGTGATAGATCCAAGAGGAACAATAAACCCCGTTTCTACCTCCCAGAGAAAGAGAAAAACAAGATCTCAATCTCTTGCTTCATCTCCTATTCCTCAGGTGGATGGAGATGATAGACACTTAAGCATCGAATCTGAACCTGATCCTAGCCTTGAACCTGAACCTTTTCATGAACCTGAACCTAGCTTTGAACCTGAACAGGAACCCAGCCTTGAACCTGAGACTGATCATGAACCTGAGCCTAGCCCTGAATCTAAACTAGAACCTAGCCTTGAACCTGAACCTGACCCCGAGCATGAGACAGAATCTGAGAGATATTTTCGAATCTTAAAAACTTTAAAATATCATTGCGATTTTGTAGAGAATCTTAAAACTTAAAAACATGTATTATGCTATACTTTTCTGCGATAATTAAAACCCGATATAATTATATTTAAATGTATTCATAGCAAATAATAAATATTTAGATCTTAAAGGGACAGTAAAGGGAAAATGAAAGGGGGTATAGGCTGAAAGCTAATCACATTAGCTCTTGATCGCGACCCATGAAAGTTATACATTTTTTTATATTTTTCGTCATTTCAATTTACATACTGTTAAACCTAAATAAGCCATACATCGAAAGAATTCATCAAATGTCGTATTCTTTAATTTCTGATAATTGCATGTTGCAGATATTTAGTTTTTTAATTAAAGCATTATATGGAGCTCTTTAAAACTGTTCCCGCATATTTATGGCTATTTAATTATTTTCGCAAATACTGAGATTCACGTAAAATAGTATAAAACCCATTAAAAAATTGTCAAGACGATATTTGATGAATTCTTTCGATATATGGCTTGTTTAGGGTTTAACTGTATCTAAATGTACGTCATATAAAACTTAACTTTTCAGTCGGATAAACATGCATGAATAATTAGCTTAATACAGTGAAGACGACTTTTCTAAATTAAGTTTAGAATTCTAACAATCTGTTTTTAAATTACAAGTTCACAAGTAAACAAAGAGAAACTGCTAATTGACAGCTTTCTTTGTTCCCATGTTTATGTGTCTCCATGTGCTGTTTAAAAGCTTAGTAGGAATCAAAATTGAAATAAAAATAAGTCTTCATTGTATTGATATATACGACGACGACTGTATAAGAATAAAACTAACATTTGGTTATAAATAGAATATACGAAAGTGTTAGATATGTCTAACAAAATATACGTTTTTTCGAAAAACTGATCTGGTAGTAATTTGGAAGTTCGTATAAACTGTTAGGGTTTCATGATGTGTACTAATTGTCTTGTATCATGTAGGGGGAGGGGGGGGGTGCTGTTTCCCCCTACTGAGTTCTAATGACTGACAAGGTCTATATGAAGGTTGGAATCAGAACCACTGTGTAGAAAGATCCTCGTTGGATGAAGATATAACTGGATACGGGACAGGGACAGATACGGTTCCCATTTTTGTAATCTTGATCAGATTCTCATTCAGGGATTCCTTCAGGGGAGTATTCCCCCCTACTGTCCGAGGGGTGGAGTGAGAAAATGACTGACTTTTTCTCGGTGTTGATTCTGGCGCTTGGTCCACTCTGGGTTTCCTAATTAAAGACAAATTTGTTCAGTTTCTTAATTTTTAAAATGGCGGCTGAATTTTGAAAGTTAACTGCCTTGTAATGATGGTTTAACACTTAAGTATTCCCACATTAAGAATTAAATTAAAAGGTTTAAAAAGTGAAACTTAATCCAAGAATTATCTATCCAGAATATCATCCATTTCATTCAGCATACATCTCGTGGAATATCTCACGCATTACATAGAAATCATGGGAAATGTTTTCTCCCGTAATTACACAGCCATTGACCGTGTCTGAACAAACGTCGTCTTCCCTATCGGAGAAGAGAATCCCGCGTTCCTTCTCTGGACGGATGCGAATAACGACGCGCCCAGGTCGACCATCTTTTTCATCTTCTTCCGCCAAAAATGCATCTTGCGACATTTCGTCTTCTTTTGTCCAAGTTGGGATGTTTTCCTTTTCTTTCAGAACCCAGGGGTTACGGAGTTCAGTAAACTTTCTAAAAAAATGTAAAATATGATTTTTCAAGATGAGAAGATAATTTAAAAAAACTTACTTCTCAACTGGATATCTGGTCTTTTCTCTTGCTAAGAATTGCCTGACTGCCTTTACCATACGTTTTGCCTTGCTTGCAAGCTGTTGTCTAAACAAATAAATAAATTATTATTCAGTAGAATTCAGTTTAGATGAATTTCTTTTTTTTTGTTTAAATTTCTACCTGTCTTTGGATCCTTTTGGGCTGCTCCGCCCACTGCTACAGCTGTCAGTGCTCCGCCCACTGTCTTTGCTTTCAAGAGATGCCCCGCCCTCGCTTCCATCCTCACGCCTCCAAACTCCTTCCAGGTCAGCTCGAGCACTTTTCTTTACTCTTGTCTCTCTAAACATTTTAAATCTTGTAATTTCTAAAAAATCTTAATTAAAGTTATTTTTTAATAATTATTTTAATAATTTTATAATAATTCTGTTTAAATTGATTTGTGCAAACCTTTGATAGCTCAAACTATGAACACAAAATGTCATATTTTAAACTCAAAATGTTAAATTTTAAACTCAAAATGTTAAATTTTAAACTCAAAATATCAAATTTTTAACTCAAAATATCAAACTTTAAACTCAAAATATCAAACTTTAAACTCAACAATCAACATGTCAAACTTTGAACTCAAAATGTCAATTTCTATGAACTAAAAATGGCAAACTATGAACCCCTAAATGTTAAGCTTTGAACTCAAAATGTCTTAACTCAACAGTCAACATGTCAAAGTGTAAAATACACATCATCACGTTGAACAGATAAAGAGATACAGGGATTAGAAAATTTCCTTCGAATTTAAGTAAAAATCTGCCGCGCCGCCCTGTTATTTGTTTCTGTAGTTGAATGATTTAAATTTGACCGTTAATCATTAAACCGTAACCACTGAACCAAACAAAAATTGACAAAACAAATCATTTGATAAAAACACCAACAAGGGAACAGGAGCGTATACAGGGGGGAGAATACTGCTAGCCCCCCCCCCTGAACTAATTCTTGAGTAAGCCCCTATGTGATAATGCAAGATAAGATTAATAAAATAGATAATGTGACTGAAATAGGTATGATTAAGCTAAACAAGCAAACACAAAAAAAGGAGTATAACTAACCGTTTCTAGTTATACTACTTCTTGATATTAGTTATTTTGACCGAAATTTCGAAACATGCCATTGAACTTAAACACTATGAATTTTGTTCGATTTTTACCTAGATTTTTGGCTAGTTTTTCCCTGGGTTGATTTGACCGGCGTGATGGCATCTAGGACTGCAGTGGACTTAAGAGGCGGTTCGGACGAGTCCAGTTTGGTGTCTGAGTCCTTGGTGGAGTCCATAAACCTAGTCGTCTTTCGTCTCCTAGTTCTACTCGTAGAAATCTCGTCATCAGAAACTGAAATATATAAACAATTTTAAAGTTCTGTTTAGTGTTTATGTAGTTGTTATGGACCGTGTTCTTTAAAAGGATTCTTCACTTGTTAAAAAAACAAAACAAGTTGTATCTTAATTATTAGGATTATAATCATTGATTGTGTTTCTCAATTCTTAAAATATGTACAGTGGTTTATGTACAGCGTTTATATTAATACAATTAAGACGATTTTTCTTGTAAAGTTTTGATTTCTAACTTTTTCAAAATTCAAGTTTACAAGTAAACATAAAGAAACTGTTAATTTAAAGAAAAAAACAATGTAAAGTGTGAAGTCTCATCTCATCTCTGTATTATGAATTATGTTAAAAATATTATAGTATTCACATTTAGTAATTCTAAAATAAAACATAACTGTAAACATTATATTTTAATAAATGTCGATAAAAGCTCTCTATCTTTAAGTTCTCACGGTGTCTAATAATAAATCATAAATAGTTAGTTTTTAACGAATGTTTATCAATACCACAAATATATCAACAACAACCAATTAAAACCATGTAACTCCGAGAAGATGCAATAATTAACATATATAAAGACGTATATTTGTTCACTGGTATACATATGAAGAGACTAAACTGACGACCTAAAACTGATATCACACTTTCGACGCTGTTGAAATGCATATTAGAGAACACTTTTATTAAAACGTCTTTGAAGCGTTCTTCAAACTAATTTAAAACTAATTTTAAAATGACTTCTTCACAGTAGTAAAGAAACAAGCATCTAAATTCTAGATTTATATCAAATAAAAAAAAAAATTATAAGCCAACATTTTGCCAGAACTTTTTGTCACCATTTCTTCATGGCAGGGGCGTACGAGGGAGGGGGCACTGGGTGCACGTGCCCCCCCTTCGGGTGACCCCCCTGGGATGGAGCACACATAGGGGGGGTCTCATATATGAAATGATTTTATATGATGTGGGGGAAAAATATAAAATAAAGTGTTAAAAGACAACTAACTTAGTTCATCCTTTTTTAATATTTTTAAAACAAAAATTCAGCAATCTTTATGGCGCTCCGTGGAAACAAATATAACTTCTGCGAGAAAAAAATATCAAAATATAAAAGCAAAATCGGACATCAAAAGGCATTTTTTCATCCTTAACTCAAAATTTCAGCTATTAGAACCCCAATTTTTTAAAAATTCCTAACAATCAATCTTAAAATGATTTTTGATGAACTGGAGAAAAAAAAGCTTGTTATCAAAAGGCATGTTTTTATCCTTTTTATTACAATTCATAACCAAAAATTTCAGCAAAAAAAACCCTACACACACTTTTTTTCTGCTCCGCGCAAACATATCTAATTTCTGGAGGGAAAAATTTATTTTTGAAAGGGGGAAAAATTTTTCTAGAAAGAAACTGTAGTTTTTGCCACGAACTCAAGTTTTCTAATACCTATTTCTATGAAACCCCCTATTTCTTTGAAACCTGATGGTGTAAACCTTATTTCAAACTTAGGCATTTCATAGTTCATGGAATTTATAGTTTAAAATATCAAAGATCAAAGACATCGGGTTAAACAAATATAGGGATTATACGTTTGAAGTCTTTGACGAAATCTGATTTCCTTTACAACTCTGAAATATATATCAACAAATATATATGTTCTAAACCAAGCAAAGACTATAAGCATGAAAGATATACGGTCCTTTAATATAGATAAAAAACTAATAAGTAATTTTGTCAAAAATAGGGTTTTCAGAGGGGGCACAAAATCTTCTAAAGGGTTCAAAGAAAAAGCGTCGGCGCTCTGAATAGGTGCCCCCCCCCATTCACTAAAATTCCCGTACGCCCCTGCTAAATGGGACCTGTTTCGTAAACCATTAATCATCTAACAGAATTCACATTTTGAAATATCAAAGTTTGACATCAGGTTGCAAAGATTTAAGTGAGTATTGACTTTTTTGGAACTGCTATTACCTTGTCATCATAAATTTGAAAAAAAAACTAAAAATACACGAAATGATTACCTGGAATTGACAAGATGCTGCGGGAGCGTGGAATATCCGCCATCTTGTTTCCTGATGGGTTGATTGACCGGCCGGGAATATCGACACGTGCATCTCGAAATCTATCAAAGCGTAAAATTTACATTCCTTCATAAGTTTTTTTTTCGGTATACAACAATTTTACTTGAATCCCGTGTAACTAAAAAACATTTATACAGATCCATGGTATAACCAGCTCTTTACACAGGAATGCCATTTACACTCAGAAAAATTAAATCATAGAAAATTTTCTAAAAGTAAATAGATTTATTCATGTTATTTCATTGGTAAAAATGTTCCATAGAGCCGGTATCATCGATTCTTTCCAGAAACCCGATTTTTTTTTTTGCAAATTTTTCCTTCATAAATTGTAGAACTTTTAATATATTTTTTTTAATATTCAATAAACATTCTTCTGTCCTGAAGATAAATCAAACAACCCCGGTTAAATGATTATGTTGAAATGAGTTCTCATAAGTTAATTGTCGGGGTTTTCAGAGCTTTTCTATGACATTTTGACATTGACTATTATGCAAAATTACCTTTAAATATACAATACAAGTTTCTTTTTATAAGTTACGGGCTGAAGGGCCCGGCGTTGCCCGTGGGAGAAAAAATATTTGAATTTTGAACACCCCCCCGGCCACCCATGTCGTCCAGTCGTTTGGCCGGCTATAGGCAACATATATATACGAATGTCTTGTTTTATTATATAGATTTAAAGTGATATTTTCGTTATGTTTTTCTGACCGACAACAATTTTTGTGGTTTGTTTGCAGAAAATACAAACAAGAAAGTAGCCGATAATTCTTAGCGTTGATATTTTTACAATGTAATCTATAAAGTTTCAGAATAGGATGAGGACAGCAGTTCAGACCATGTTATGATTTTAGATTGTTCAATAAACACAGCAATATAATGTACTGCATATAATGTACTGCATATAATGTACTGCATATAATGTACTGCATATAATGTACTGCATATAATATACTGCATATAATGTACTGCATATAATGTACTGCATTCAAAGTCCCGATTCGCTTAATACTATCGTATAAATGTCGTCTTCTTATTCCACGGAATTATGGGTAGGGTACCCTTCAATGTTTTATTAACTTAAACGTGGAAAATTCCTTTAATATTTGTTCCTCGCTGTTTAAAAGTGAGATTTGTGTCAGACGCTCAAGGGGTAGAAAATGCATCTGACTCACGCTGATTTAACAGTTTGGTCCTTATCTCAGAGAACTGAGACTTTTCATCACAATTTGATCTGCTAAACATAATTTGTTCGTGTTTTTCTTTTAAACTTTTTTACGCATTTTTAAACAAAAACAAGAGAACTATGAAAGGTAAAGATTGGTGAATTATAGATAAGCAAGTTCTTGAATTTAATTAGGAGAAACAGAATGCATCTTGCCCTGGTTAGTCCGGCGTGGACTAACCAGAGTATTAAACCCTATTGCGTAGAAAACATAAAAATTGTAGAAAATATCTGACAATTGGAACAAATACACAAAATGCGTCAGTAAAAGTTTCACAAAAAAGTTTAAAGTTTTTGTGGGCCTACATTGGAATTTTATCGTGACCTTCCCTTTAAAGAGGGACATTCACGTTTACAATGGTACCAATATAGATTTTACCTAATCAATAATATGGAAAATATCGTCTTTTTTCTTTTTAACCAGTGCAACAAAGGAAGCCATGCATTGTAGAGAAACAACAATTGAGATTTATCAATTTAAAAGAGAAAATTATGGATATCAAATGCAATCTTGACCAGACAAAGCTGTTCAGGATACTGTTGTGAAAAGGACATGCCAAAGTATGATTTATAATTTTGGAGAGTCACTGGAAGTAATTTGCTGTATTTGCTGAAATTATTAAAAAATTTTAGATTATTTTCAATTTTACCTGGAGTTGAGATCACTGGCTGCTAAACTAAGCCTGCTGGTGGTCAAATCTTTAGCTCCGTTCAAATCTCTGAACACGTTCAAGTCACGTAGAACATCAAGCTCACGAACCATATCCAGCTCATGAGCCAATTCCAGGTCTCGAGCCCCCAGACCAAGACTGAGCCTACTACCATGAAGGTTTCTAAACCTAGGAGTTCCCACTCCTCCTCCACCCCCTAGACTGAATCTAGACCCTCCTAAATATAGATAAAATATGATATATTGCAGCAAGTTAAATATTGTACCCATCATCATGGAAGCATAAAGAAATCCACCAACAAGATATTCAAAATCCTCAAACAAGTGCTACTAAAAAAATTGAGTTTTAATTTTAATTAAGTTATACTAGCTTGGGAACCCGGCGCTGCCCAGGTTACTCCTGGTTACTCCTGCAGTTTATCTGCACTTGGACAATATTAGCGGGAAACTAAATACTAAATATTAAAGTCAAACCACTCAATTAAGATTCTCATCACCTAAGCTAAGAACATTCCCGAGTTTACCGATCAAAATTTGAGGCAAATTAGTCAAGGGGTTTCTGAGTTATGATCGAAGAAACAAACAGACAAACAGAGATTACAACTTTATACGTATAGATAAAGAAAAATTGACTGAGGTAATAATCCCCCAAATACCTGACAGTAAACTGTCCGCTCCAAGACTGCTCCTGGATTTGAACTGGGGCTGCGGGAAAGATCCTAGCCCTTCTAGACTTAGCCTTGAGGTTGTTCTTGAGGAACAGCTGCCAATCAGCTGATCTGTTCTTGAGAAACTGCTGCCGACCAGCTGATCGGAAACCTGATCTAGAAAACTTACAAGCTGGGTGGTGGCCCGCTCATAAACTTTTCTGAAAAAAACCTAATTGAACGAAATTCAAACTCGATTTTTAATCTAAATTATAATTTTCTACCTGGAATCCTCCATTTTATTGAGTTGCCAATGAAGATCTTCTATTTCCTTCTCCATTGCTAAATGTCTAAAATATTAAAATTCGTAATCAAGTAAACAACATCGATCTCAATCCATGAGTCAAACTGAGTATTACCTGGCTCCTGATTGTCTGGTTAGTTCTAGCTCCTGAAGGAGTTTCTGGTTCTCCCCTCTGAGCCTCCTGACCTCCTGTTCCAGGAGTTCTAGACTACTCTCCTTCCTTTGCCACACCTCCTGATCCAATCCCAGGGATAAAACCGTTTCAACCTGAAATACGATTTTAAAGGGTATTTACAGGGAAGAAATTGAAGGGTCTGTATCTGGTAATTGAAAATTCGCTTTAGATAAACTTCACAAGAAAAAATCTAGAAAAAATATTATGAAAAATCGAACCAAGCAAAGGTTTTGGTTTGTGTTTTCACAGGGTTAAAATAAAACCTGTATGGGAGAGTAGACGAAATCTGAAAAAAAAACTACTTAAATTAACACTTAACACTTTAAGACAGAAAAACGACAATATATTCAATATTTTTGATTGGATAAAGGGTTAAGGGTACCGTTGTGAATCAAAAAAAACTTTAAGATTCCAAATATTAATACAGCTATGTTTTTAAACTTCAACTTTATTCAGGATGGCTCATCAGCAAAATCTCAATTTGATTTCAATTTAACAAATTAACATTTTGACCACACATGAATATGATGAAGAGAATTAGCATAAATGCAAATCCAGAAGCCAAGTTTTCCAAGGATTATTTTTTTTTGCAAAAAAAAGGAAGATTCCGCATTATCATCCCCCCCCCCTCCGCTTTCACTGCAAAAAGTTTATTTTTTATCTTGTATACGTAAAAACAATCTTTTTCATTTTGGAATAGTATCTCCTTCTTTAGTGTAAATAAAATAATCTAATATTCTATCATTTTACAGTTATATCAAATTCTATTTAAGCTTTATCAAATGATAACAAAATTTGAGAGAGTGTTAAAAAATTTCATGAGATTTCATCAAAGTTTTGAAAAAATGTTCTTGAGATTCCATTAAAGTAATATAAAGTTCTAAAGTTCTTTATTATAGATAATGGATTGTTTAAAATTGTTATGCGATTCCATCAAAGCATTTAAACCTCTTTGAAAAGCTTATTGTGATTCTAAAACATTGCTAAAATTTTCTAACAAAGTTTTTTTAACAAAGTTTTTAATATTTAATATTTTAATATTGAACAAAGCTTGAGATCCTTCCAAATTGATATCTACTCGTATGAGAGATAACATTTGTCATATTTTGTCCCTTGATCAAAGTTTTTTGAGATCCCCTTCAAATGAATGTCTACAGTGATAACCAGAAAACTGTAGACTAGGAAGACGACATTAAATCAATACTGAAGTGAATTTGTGTTGTTATAAAGCAAATAGCTTTACACTATTAAATTATTAAATTACTTATAATTAGTGAAAGGGGTCTGTTTGCACTGCACAATTGCTGTGTCTCATTCTCATTGGACTATTTAAGGTCATATTTTGAGTTTAAAAGTCGACTTCCTATTGCAGAGTTTGCTGGTTATCACTGTATGATAGAAAGATGCCTACTAAGTAAGCAAAAACAAATTTCTTATTTTCAACTAAAAATCGCTATATTATTGTTGAATATAAGTATTTTTTTATATTTCTTTATGTCTTTACCTTTGATATCTGAGTTGCTTGAGTCCGAGGTGTGAATGGTTCTGCTAGCTTGAAAACAGGACGAGTAGTGGGACGAGGGGAAGAACGAAGAATCTGATCGTCAGAACGATGAGGGTTCGTCTTGGGGAACGAGGAGCAGGTTGATAAAGACTTTCTCTCTGCAGGCTTAGGACTTAACCCAAGTATAACCTAAATAATATATATCTTAGGACTTAATCCGAGTATAACCTAAATAATATATATCTTAGGACTTAATCCGAGTATAACCTAAATAATATATATCTTAGGACTTAATCCGAGTATAACCTATATAATATATATCTTAGGACTTAATCCAAGTAAAATATATTTGATATAATCTTAGGACTTGATCCCAGTATAACCTAAACACTAAATAAATTAGGACATAATCAGAGGATATAAACAATTTAAATCTTAGGGCTTAACCTGAGTATAACCTAAATAATATTTATCCAGGTATAATCTTAATAATATGCATCTAAGGACTTAGTTCGAGTATAACCTAAACACTATACAAATTAAAACTTAATCCAAGATTAACCAAAACAATATATATCTTGGGACTTAATCCGAGTACAACATAAATAATTTATATCTTAGAACTTAATCCAGGTATAATCTAAATAATATACATATTAAGACTTAATCCGAGTATCACCTAAATTATTTAAATCTTAGGACTTAAACACTATATATATTGGGACTTAATCCTAGGATAATCTAAATAATATATTTCTTGGGACTTAATCCAAGGATAATCTAAGTAATATATATCTTAGGACTTAATCCAGGCATAATCTAAATAATATATATCATAGGACCTAATCCGAGTAAAAAATAAAAAATAAATATCTTAGGACTTAATCCGAGGACAATTTAAATCATATGCATCTTAGGACTTAATCCCAGGAAAACCTAAATAATATATATCTTAGGACTCAATCCGAGTGTAACTTAAACACTATATATTTTGGGACTTAATCCTAGGATAATCTAAATAATATATGATATATGTATATTAGAACTTAAACCAAATATAACCTAAACAATATATATCTTAAGACTTAATTCAAGTTAATAAATTTTCGGTAAAAGACTTTCCCTAGCTCTATTTGTTGGTTTGTTGACTTTTCCAGTATAACCCTCAAAACTGTTCAATAGGAAGACGACTTTTAGCAATCTTGCGAGTTTTTGAAATTGTCAAGCTTCCTATTTATATTTTTGAGTTAATTTAACTGGATTATTCTTGGTCATTGTCTTGCTTGTCTGTGATTTCTGAAAAGGCGTGGGAAGAACAATTTTATCTGTTTTGTAAATCATGAAATACTTAAATATATTGCTAATCTTTTTATAACAAATTGGAGCAATTTTTGCACGAGAGGGGGGGTGTGTGTTTGCAATAGGGAGGGGGGGATGTAAAAGCCATATCAAGCTATAGAAGCCAAGTAACTGAAGTTATAAGCAAGGATTTTAAAACCTTAGAAATACACTATGCTTGTTTTCTGAATAATTTAGGCACTGCATTAAATATATTTGATAAATATGGAATTAAAAACATGTTGTTTACATATTGCATGCTATCTTTCGTGATAAATGTAAAATAATTTATTCTAAAAAAATGCTAAATATTTCGTAATATCTTTTTCACAATTTAAACAGTTACAAGACATGGTTTCAGAGATTTTCATAACTTTAGTCAGAGCCGTAACTAATAACAAAGAATTTACAATTCAAATCTGCTCTAACACTTCTCCATAACGGTGGATAACAAAAACAAAATACTGGGTGTCCCCCAAAACATAGGTGGTTTCAGAGGGGGGACAGTCCATTACCCTCCCTGAGTGAATTTAGGGGGGGACTTACCCCCCTAAATTTCACAAAGTCATTACTCCGAAGGCTTTTTGACCTTGAACAGGTCACCTATGACCACCAGGGTCACCTATGACCACCAGGTCACCTATGACCACCGACAGGTTGGTCAAGCTGGAAAGAGTGGCGATGCACCCAAAGAGACTTGACTCAATTTTGTACAAAGCTATTTCAAGCGCCCCAAGAGAACTAAATTATCGTGGACTGGAAGAAGGGAGGGTATTATTATTATAATTTTGAACAAATATTCCTTTTTTACTTACGGCCTTCTTATGGTATCCTTTTTAACTTTAAAAATAAACATAGAAACTACTTGCAGTCTCATGCAAGAAAAATTAGCATGATTCAAGAAGCATTATTTACTAAAAAATCAATAATAAATTAATAATAGCAGGAAATAAAAAATAATTCTCCCTGAATTAGAATAATACAATATGTATAATGTTAATGTATAAAGCTCTACCAATAATATATTTTTATGTTATTTAGATAAATAAATGGATTATTAAGACATTTGCCTATGGGGAATAATTTAAAAAAAATAATCATTAAATATGAATAGTCCTAGATTTCAATAATATTTATATAAAACCCAATTTGTTTAAACCTCCGATTTCTTTGTCAATTAGAAAGCTATCAGAGATCGAATAAACCGGTTTAAACTATCCTGTTTTGGTTGACACAATCTACAGTATGATATAAAATGTTTGAAAATAGTTTTCAGCCTTAACACCAAGAATATCGTATTCTAACTAGACAAAAAAACTTTAGCTTTGAACTAGGCAATCCGCCATTTTTAATCCTTTGAATTGGTGCAATTTAAAAAATTAATAAATTTCAACCTTTTTTCAGGCAAAGTTTTCTTTTTTGCCCAGCAATATAACTTTCCTGGGATCATGTGATCATGTGAGTTGCATCGACAATTTTTAGCTCGATCTGTTCGGGTGTTTTTACCTTTGTTAAGAACAAACAAAGAAACACCCTGACAACCAAACAAAGTACATATATAGAAGATTACTGAAGCAAAAAAAGCGCAGCTTTGCAAATTGTGGTAAAATATAAATGTTCAGCTTAAAAAGTGCGTTGTATGATTTTCTTTGTTTCGCAAATAAAGAGCAATTAAAATAATGGATTTTATTTCGCAAAATAGGAGGTCTCACCTACAACAAAATGTCCAACTGAAATTAGAGGAATTCTTCCTAAAATTACTTCTAAAAAGATGTTTCCAATATAGAAATAAAGAAGAAGTTGCCTACTCCAATTAAGGACAATAATCCATTTATAAAAGTGAGAATGTGTGATTCACAACGATACCCTTTAAACCTATGTCTGAGTAGCACTCGTATAGCACTAAGATATGAGTTTCTAAACTAAACGCTGAAAGTCCTTTCGTTATTTCTCCTCGCAAATTACTTTTCACAGAGAACCCAAGATTACAAATTTATACATTTTCAGATCGGAAACAATTATATCTCATTAACCTTGGCCAGACTAAATGGGTAACATTGTGAATCGAATGTGCTTTTCTACAATCAGAGAGCGCCTTGAAATTAGGTAACAGTCCCTTATATCTTAGCAATAATTACCAGGTTTCCATGATTTCTCCTAAGTAAATAGTAAATACGCAGAATCGAGATGGGGAGGGGGAAGGGGAAGGGGGGGATGATCATAAGAGCCTGGGAAAATTCAAGCTTTTATTCCAGCATTGAGAGCCAGAAACACTATTGTAGAGTAGACTATGTTCGTATGTATGTTCCCTGAAATAATCACCAAAATAGGAAAAATAAACAAAGTTCCATAACTCTGAGCATTTCTTTAAAAAGAAAATATATGGTCCACTAGATTGAAAATTAGGGGATCACTTGAAGTTAACAGTCCCTTTAAATTTAAAATTTTGAACTGGCTTACCTTTGAATTACTATTTTTTGGTCTCAGAGAAGGCCTTGATTGAGGGCTGGAGGGTGGTATTGAGGACGGCCTCGAACATGTAGCCTCTGAAGGAGGTATATAAGAATAAGCCGAGGATGGCCGGAAAGAATCTCTGGAATCTGGCCTCGGTAGAGAATTTTGTAAACTCACTTTTTCACTCCCACCCTGTAATCCTTCGAATATTTTTGACAATTCTGAAACTTTTTTTCCTCCGCGTTCCCATATTTCTTCCGAACCTGCATTTTGTTCTCCGCCCTCAATTTCCCGCATTTTTACTGAGTCACTAAGTCTGTTTACAAACAAACCGTTTATTTTAGCCTGTTCCGGGTTCTGAACTGTAATGTGTGTACTCGAGGTACCCATGTTAGCTGGTGTCTGTATGTCAGTGGACCCGGAGCAGGATTGATCCTCTCCGTCCCAGGGTTCTCCGTCCCAACATTCGTCCTCTCCAATCCATGCATCCTCGTCTTGATGCTCACTAACAGATTTAAAGTATATTTTAACGAAATAAAAAAGTCTAAAGTCTAATAACAGTTTCTATTCAATGTAAAAATTGCACATGGTTAAAACGTAGGATTCCGCGTCATGAATTAAAAAGTATCGATAAAGTTTTCAATAAAAAAGCAGATGTTATATGCGTTTTAAATCAGGAGAAAGCAACAGAGATAGAAATTAAATTCTAAATTCCCTCCACTAGGTCATTTATTCGCATCATTTGCAACCGAAGTCAAAAGATTAAAAAGGCTCCACCCTCCTTTATCACCAGATAACCTGAAGGTACATCCTTACTCTAACATAACCTGAACCTCATTCAAAAGTATTGGCTAAGCCCACTTTATTCTATATTTTTGTTAAGTCTGTCTGTTTGTCCAAAGCTCAAAAATGTCAAATTTAATGAACACGCCAATAGCCACTGAAGGTTTATTTTGAAAACTAAATAAGATCGTCTAATTTATAAAAAGGAAAATGCATTTCCATTCGATCCAACAAAATTTAAAACTTTAAATCCCTGTGGTCCAGCATTTTCTGAAAATTATTCGAGTCCATCCACTCCTCCTCATTCTTCCAGATAGATTCATCCTCATTTATCTCCCCCTCATCCTCATCCTCTTCATCCTCATCCACTGAATCAGTTCTGGAAAAAAATGAAATAAAGAAAAACTCGCGTCGGATTGAAGTCGTTCATGCTTTTAATCAATACTCTTCTTCATGGGCGTAGTCAGGACTTTGTCGAGGGGGGGGGGCGCTTAATTTTTTCCTTACTAAGGGGGCCCCCGTTGGAGCCCAAAAACCCATGGAAACCATAAGTTTCACTGATCATTGATATGTCATACTTGGGCATATAATCAAAACTGTACACGTCGAACTATAATGTAAATTATAGGAGAGATTGATATCTCATGTTTTATACAATCGGAGGCGTATCCACATACATACAGGGGGTTATGGAGGTTCAGCCCCCTTCCCCTCTGTATAAGCCACTGCCTTAGATTATAACTCCTCTTATTAGAGAGCCATTGAGAAGAACAAATAAGTTTTAAACTACTAAGTTCTACTTTGCAATAAAATAAATTTTACTCATACTTCAGCGTAAACTAAAAATTCTAGGAGCTAAGAGTAGTTGATCTTATCCTCATGTCTGGATTTAAGTTAATAATGAACCAAAAACTGTATTCTTCATATATTGGAAGATTATTTTTGGAAAATATTTTAGTTCAAAAATTCTGCGGTTTGTCTCAATCCCCATTATTTAATGCTTTTGGTTTGCAAAAAATGTGGTTGTGGTTGGTGTTAAATAAAAACATTTTTGAATTTCTAACCTTGGTTGTATTGAGAGTGAATCTAGAGTTAAACTGCTGAAAGCATGCATCTCTCGGGCAAAACGAGATTTAAACATTTTTCTAAAAAAATATCTAAAATATTCACGAATTTTAAAATCAATTCCTCCCTCCTATCCTTACAAATCTATTATGTTGTCTGAAGGTTTGACCAAACTAACAACTGCATGGTTTCATCCAGGTTCATGTCCTTTTTAAATACTTTGATTAAAACTAAGATTTAGGATAAAATTAAAAATTTTGGGAGGACAAAAATAATTTTAGTCATTTCTAAATATACCCCCCCCCCCCCCCCCCATTCCACCAAAAATCCCGTTAACCCATCCTTGTACTTATAATGTTTTGTAACTGTATCAATACACAAAAGGGGTTAAAATAATTAGCTGTACACGACATAATAATTATATAATTAGTAAATTCTTGTCTAAATATTGAGTTATCCTTATTACAGAATGTCCCAGAAAAAAGTGTGATGAACATTGTAAACGTTACATTTGAGAGACAAAAATTTTCACCACAAGATTGAAAATTTTAATAATTTTTATACATACGTGTTCCTTAGATTGTCTTAAAAGATCCAAGACGACCTTTAAATCGTTTCTTAACGGTAAATATGATTCGAAGTAATGGTCTGCAAGATTTATCCCATAATTGAAAAAGTTTAAATAAATTCTGATTTACAGATATACATAGGATAGACATAAAATTTTAAATATGGGGTTTCCAAAATTTTGACGCATCTAAAAATTAAAATAAAAATTCCGTCAAATTTGTCCATAATCGAATGTGATACATAATACATAAGATTTAAAACTTAGCTTGAAATTATTAAGAATGCTTTAGTTTCTCCTCTTATTATTTTTATAAAATCAAATCAAATTTTTTAAAAAGTTAACACATAAGCATTTGCCCAATGCCCATGTAATACTGAATATCATAGTTTTTCCAATTTAAAAACTCACAATAATGAAATGAGGAAAAAAACTTTATAAACAAAAAAAATTACCAAATTATTTTTCTAACACTCTTACCCTAATCAGTGATCGTAATTGAAAGAACAGGGCTTAAGGTTCTTTAAAAAAAACTTCAGAAGTATTTGGATTTAAAATACGTTCCTAAAATATTTGTGAATTTTTTACAAAAATTGTTTATTCTTAACATATGGTTAACTACAAGTTGAAAACCCTATTATAAACTAAAAACAAACCAAGCTATGTGAATCACATCATTAACCGCCAAGTACACAAATTATCATTGATTTTCATCTTAAAAGTAAGAAAAGACAAGACGTTTTATACAAATGAAAAATTAACTTCATGTCAAGTAATTTAATTCAAATATTTTAACTGTTCTACATCTCGCTTTGATACATCACACTGAAACCCCTTTTCTTTTTCCTGATTTAGTCAATAATGGAAAATTTGGACACCATGTAACAGTAACCCATATTTATTTGAGGGGTATATACTGCATTTATGTCTACCTGAAAAACGTTTCTGTCACGTCAAATTAAAGTAAATTTCACGTTGGATCGAAATCTTTTATGTTTACAAATCATAACATTCAGACTGAATCAATGTTTTGAAATTCAGGGGACCAAATAAATTTGCTTTTTTAAAAATAAAACAAGAGAAGCAGGAGCTACCGAGGTGACAAAATCGTATAGATAAAATCGCAACAAATTTGACCTTCTCCAAGCCTGGTTTTTGGAATGTGCTGCATATTCGAAAAATGATTTTTTAAAGTAAAATTGGCAGAAATAATGTTAAAAAAAACAGTAAAACGTCTTTAATATAATTTAAAATGGCAAAAGAAATGTTGAAAAATGAAAAAATATTGAAACAAAATTAGCACTAGAAAAAAAATCAAAATTGTGTTAGAAAAATGATTCGGAGAAACGGCATAATTTGAGCAAATGTACAAAAAATGATGACATAAGTGAAAAATTTGCTCACACAAAAAATTGGAAGAAATTACAGTAGGATCTATAAAACTGTAGAAAAGGAAGACGACATTCAGCTTATAGAATCATGAAACAAAATGGCGTTAGAAAACATTAAACAATTGGCATCAATAATAGGAAATTGACACCAATATTAAGAAATTGGCACAAATAATAAGAAAATGGCACAAATAATAAGAAAATGGCACTAAAAAATATTTCACAAAATGGCACTATGATATGCAATAATAAACAAAATGGCAAGTTAGAAAATGTTAAAACAAAATGGCGCTAAAAAAAGTATGAAGAACATAGGATTGATGTGTTCTGCTCTGGGTGGTTTGGTATAAATGAAACTAAAGACAGTCTAGAAATATTAGGCGTAGATGTCTCTTTGTTCGGAAATTATACCGGAAATTATAAAATGCTTTAAACAGGGTGTATATGAAAAACATTCAATTTTTGTATTGCATTTAATTTAATTTATGTGGGGAGGTGGGGGGGGGGGGTAGAATAACTCGCGTCAAAAACTGAAGTTCAACGACAAGTAAAACTTTTTTTTACAGACAGTATTTTTTGGTACACCCTATATTTGTGTCACCTTGCACAGTCTTTATAATTGAACAACATATCTTCAAACTAAAAAAGATCCTGTGACAAATCATTAATCAGATTTAAAATATATGTTTGAAACATGCCTCAGGTTTGACAGAGTTGCAATTTTATAAAATAGAAATTTTTTCTCCCTCTAAAATGTTTACGCACTGAAATCAACCAATAACGTTGTGGGTTGAAATAAAAATAAAGAAAAACACATTAAATCTTAATGTTTAATGACTATATCAAATGGTTGATGAAACATTTCAAACCAGTTTTAATTTCTATTGTTAAAGTTATAATTGGTAATGATGGCTACTATACGGAGGACAAGCTTTAAAGATCTCGATTTGAACAGATAATTAAATACTCAGAGATAGAGATCGCCAGGTGTAATAATAGCTTGTTAGATAATAGTTATTAAAGACCACCTGGTAACCCATCCATCCTTGTGTCAGCAGGGAGATGACCGCAATAAAGAGAGACATTGTATGAAAGTTGAACGCAACAAAGGGAGACATCGTAATTTCATATTTTCAGTTGTTTTTGATGGAAGTGGTGATAATCACAAATTATCAACATAATATAAAAGAAATAATTACTTGCATTTTTTATCTATCAGAATTCAAGTAGTTTAAATAAATACGACGATAGGTTGCAAAGATAAAAGAAATAATAGAGTTTGAAGAGAATACTCAGTGCCTTAGTATGAGTATTTACAGTATTTACCTAGTATATAGCTGTGTCCGTGGTTTACTGGTTTTATTCAACCATTCAGAAATTTGAACAATAAACCTTCTTATTTTTACTAATTATCCAGACCCCTGCAGTTTCCGGCGGCGGGGTGGGGGTTGCTTAGCTTTACCACCCCCCTCCCCCAGGAAAGACCATGTTCACCGGGTTCACCGAGTTCACCTGTCCAGATAGAGAGATAAACATGTTTTGAAGGATGTGTCCATCCTCCTCTTCAGAGTTTTACATCCTTTCACATCCCAGCCTATCCTTTCCAATCTTTACTTTCCTCTCCTTCCTTTCCAATCCTTTCCAATCCTTCCCTGTCCTTTCTAATCCTCTTCTGTCCTGTCTAATCCTCTTCTGTCCTGTCTAATCCTTTCATATTCTTTCGAATCCTCTCCTCTCTCTCCCTCGCGTGTCTCTAAAATGCAACGGAAATGTCTGCCTCCTTGAACTGAAAGGCTTTAGGATATAAAGAAGAGGGGAAAGCAACTTTTATATTTTACTTCCTGTGCTTTATATTTATATTTTATTTTGATTCATCAAACTTCTCAGAAATTTGAATGGAACCAAAATGTTAAATGCTGGAAAAAGGGTCGAATTGACAACTTTTACTGTTTCAAAATGTTATAAGGGGAAGGGTTGAGGCCGGCCATTCATTTTATCAGGAAAAAAACGATTTTTAAAGTAAGAACATACGAAAAAGGCATTTTTTTTAAAGAAGAAGAAGAAGAACAAGAACAGGAACAAGAACAAGAACAAGAAAAAGAACATGAACATGAACAAGAACAAGAACAAGAACAAGAACAAGAACAAAAGCAAGAACAAGAACAAAAACAAAAAGAAGAACAAGAACAGGAACAAGAACAAGAACAAGAACAAGAACAAGAACAAGAACAAGAACAAGAACAAGAACAAGAACAAAAGCAAGAACAAGAACAAAAACAAAAAGAAGAACAAGAACAGGAACAAGAACATGTTTTCATAAGTTTCTAAAATCTAGTTATAAATTATATAGCCCGAGTAAGAATTGATTTCCAAACCAAATTATAATCTATTTGTGCGTTACTCATTAAAAGTGTGACGGAGTTTTTGGGTACTCTCTCAACTCATCCTCTGAGTTATGTCTCTCCTGTGACCTATCGTAGTTTAACTAACAGTTGATCAGTACACTCTGTTGATTAAATATAACACAACATCAAAATTTACTCATAGTCATTTAATAGTTGTTAAGTTAAATTAAAACAGTAAAACGTTTCCATAGCACCCCCTTGACCCTTGAAAAGCTTTTTTTTTAAATGAATAAGAAATAAGATCATATCATTTTCATATTGCAAAGTCAATATTAATATATTTATCATTTATATTTGTCTAAAGCAAAATTACATTAAACAATATAAAAGTTTACAAACTAATACTCTTTTCTCTGGATATCGCATTTTATAATTGACAGGGTTTGCCAAAAAACAGGCGCAATACAAGACTTTTAGCATGAGTATAGTTTAGATATTCAGAGGTGGTTTTCAGAAAAGAGGTTTCTTGGTCCAAGTCTAGTGTTTTTTGTTTTCTAAACATGTGATAGGATGACAGTACTCCAAGGCTTGATAGATTTTCACACATTGCTTTGAAACTAACACTGGGTTTGCAGAACTTATGCAGTTTCTTTAGAATCGCCTTATTTGATGGAAAATGATCTACATTTTGCTGGTTTTAATCTCACTCCCATACTTGACTCTGTTAGTTAAGCAGTACGATCCCTTAAAACTTAAAAGCTCAAATACACTTGTTAAAAAGGTTAGCCTTTATAGTGTGCATTG